GTACTATATATACTTGTGCATATGCACCTATCAATACATTGAGAGTTGCATCCTATTCCTCTACAATTCCTTTTGCTGCAAAGTGCAAAGTCGGTGGGGGGGATCAGGTTCCGCTTCATCTATCTCAATTCTCAAACCCAGATCTGACCGAGAGCCCTGCCGCAAGCAACTCATCATCAGTCTCAGTCTTCGTCGAATAGAAAAAACGTGCACTGTCGGTCTACAGCTTTGTTAGGATCAGGCTAGCTAATTCGCCATGGACCACGGCAAGCGTCAGCGACAGAATGCACTGCAAATATACTTATCTCTCCGCCTGTCTCCGCGAATTTCGCTACGTACTACTATCAATTACTTCAATATATAGATAAATAGTGTCCCTGAATTTGAGCTCAAAAAAGGTGTGATGTATAGTATGCAAGAGAAGGATTCCAAACCCCTGCTGCTAACATTTCATCCAAGACTCGATCCTTCGGATTTCATACTCGCTTTACAGCTAATTTGCAAAGGCATACACACGCACAGAAAGTGAAAGAAGAAAGATCATTCGAGGTGTTGAAAACTTGAGCCTGTTACTGCACTCACAGCAAAACATGTCCACTGAAACAATGGACAGAGTGGTGGAGGACACGAACCTATGTCATGAGTTGGAACTTGGAAAAACAAAAAACGAAGAGATCCAGCGCCTGCTGAACTATCATCACAGAGACAGACTTCACAGTCACAGGAGATCTTACCCAAGCAGAGCATGCTGCAACCCAGCGATATCGACATTATCGCTAAGACGACGACATCTCTGAATTATGATGATATGGTCCTCATTGGCATCCCATCATGCGCAGAAATGGGACGGGAGCTTGTCCAGGATCATCATCCCTAGCTAAGCACATCACGACTGGCCACCCCGCAGTGGATGGTCTGAATCGACGACGACTGCCCGGCCGCTCTTGCTGCTGAAGCACGACCTGCCGCCGGGCGGCAGCCTCTTCATCGGCGGCACGGAGTCGTCCTGCAACGCGCGCCGGGTGCGGCCACGTCCGCTGCTGCTGTTCTCCCCGCGGCACCGGCGCGACGTGCCGGCGCCGCCTGCAAGGAGCCCACTCTCCCTGGCTGCGATCAGCTCGTCCTCCATGGTGGACTGCAGCACGTCGGCGATGGACATGCGGCTGTCACGGTGGAGGTTGGGCCCCGTCTTCGGTGCTGGCACGCCTTCTTCTCTGATCTCAGCCGTGCCATTGGCATCATCCTCCTCCTCTGCTCCCTCTCGGCTGCCCTCCGTCTCCTGATCACCACGCTCAGCTCTGACGCCGCCACTGCTCACCGCTTCCTGCTGCTCCTCACACATGCTCTCCAACGCATCCATCTCAACGACCACCTGATGGGTGCTCCGGTCGGCCTCGCCTGCGCCTGGAGCACAGCCCTCCGGCTCCGGCGGCGCCACCTCGACGGCGACGAAGGTGATGTTGGAGCGGCAGAGGGGGCAATTGGAGTGCGACTTGAGCCAGGTGTCGATGCACTGCTGGTGGAACGCGTGGCTGCATTTCGGGAGCAGCCGGAGGCTCTCCCCGTCGTGGAACTCGCCGAGGCAGACCGAGCAGTCGGTGGTGTGGAGGGCGGGCCCGTCGCCGCGCCTGTACTTGCACACCGTGATCTTGTTGATGAGGGCCTCGTCCAGCCCGCTCGCCGGCGACACGTTCCACGACTCCTGGCTCCTGGACTGCCCGTGGCCGCTCCCAGGACCGCCGCTGCCCCCACCGCCGCCGGAGCCGGGGCCGGGGCCGAAGAGCCTCCTCCGGAGGGAGCCGAAGGTGCCGCAGTACTTGGAGATGAAGGTGTAGTAGCTGACGAGGAGGAAGGCGGTGGCGAGCACGCCGATGATGGCGATGACGAGCGGGGAGAAGACGTGGCCGGAGGAGTCGTCCGGGCCGGGGCCGGCGAGGTCGAAGGGCGGCGGCGGCGGGAAGATGAAGTAGCACCACTGGGGGCAGTACATGCTGCACAGCCCCTGCGAGCAGTCCCTGGTCGGCTCGTAGGGCACCCAGGTGGGCTCCGTCCCGATGATTGCCGGCGGCGAAGACGCCATTTTTGCCTCCCCCTCCCCCTCCTAGCACCAAATCTTGGCAGCAGGGGAGAAAAAGGCCGAGGAAGGAACGGGGACAGATGTGTTGCCAACCACCTCACTCACTCCGAGACGGCTGGGCGCTCAGGTACTAGCAGAGGATCTCCGAGTCTCTCTGGGCCAAATCATTGTGACTGGGTGGGGGAAGAAGGCGTAGGAGCATCTGAGTGGGCGCTCGATCCATGGCGCTTTCTTTCTCGAGGTTGGGGAGTGGGAAATGTGACGGGGAATGGGGGGAAGAGATCGGAATCAGACGATGGCGCAGGCTGATGATGGGGATCTTTCGGGGAGGCTGGAGAAAGAGAGGAGCGGGGGATTGTCTGCAAAGCAAAGTGATGGTGGACTGGACTGGTGGTTGTTGGCATCTTCTCATCAAGCTTTTGTTTTTGCTGCCGCAGCTCCTCTTTCCTCTTCTTTTTCTTTGCCCTGCCCCCTGCCTGCTGCCGTCCCTTTCCTCTCTCCTGTGCCGCACACGTCACAAGACGAGGAGAATGTGTCCACCGGACATATGATTGTGTATAATAGGTCAGCAGGAAACATGAGCATGATAATTTGCACAATCTTCTACTGATAGTTCCCAAAAAGAATGGAAATCAGATCTCACAAGAGCGGTTTCCAAATATTTTTCACTGATTTGATGTGTGAAAGCTAAAGCCTGCTCTAATTCCAAAGTGGTCTGACTGACCAAAGAGATTTATTAAGGGTGGCATTCAGAGCTTTGCTGGCTGTCCAAGAAGTGGCTTTCATCAAAGCCAAGCTGCTAAACCTTCACTGTCCCTCAAGTCTCTCTCCCTAAACAATCCAAGGTTATCCCTTTAAGCAACGGGAGACGATGATGACCAGCACCGGTCAGTCCATTTGACAGCTTTCTTCACACTCACTGCTCCCTTACGGACACCAAACCCTGTGGTTGTGGCTGACAGCTCTCTCTATTTTTGCTTGTGTCAATTTAGGCCTTTGATGGCTTGCATTGGTACAAAAGAATATGAATGCCCTCTTCTATTTCTTCAGGTGAAATGACACTGTCAAAAAACTTCGGACGGAAAGCAGAGGCCGGGGCGCTCCCCTTTTCGAAATAAAATGTTCACACGGAAAATTGCACGCATACGGCTAGAGTTTGCAGTCTCACCCTATAAGCAGCTAAAGCTTAAATTCACACCGATAAATCGGAGGACTGTGATTACGTTTTAGACAAGAAATCAGAAATGTAGACAACGTTTTACAGAAGCAGATCGGTCAAGTTGTGGATTGCATTAGTGTCAAAAACGCTCTTATATTATGGGACGAAGGGAGTAGTTCAGAATTAAATGGACTTTTTGTTTAGCGGCACAAGTTGTGAAGGACGGCCCAGTTTAAGAGGCCTCTTCCTTTTCTTTGGTGAGTGCATGACAGAAACAGGAAAACATGTGAAAAATGTTGGAACACGTGTACACAAGAGAAGCTGTGCAATTTCTTTCAGTTGAAAGCAAAACACCGCCAAAATAAGGTTTCATGTCCTGGCTAACAACACTGCACTATGAAATCGAGTACACTCAGCCCGACCCACCCCATTGCTGGTAAGCATTGACCTTAACAACAAATTCAACTGCTGCATGAAAATTCAACTGCTCTCATTACCTACTCTTGCTCAATTATTCATTAAAATTCATATATTACTCCTAATGGTTTGAAACAACAGTCAAACAACATGTTAGGCTTCAATGCCAATAAAGTTAACTGGATAGTGACTACTAGACTCGGGCCAGGGCCAATGCTCAAAAGAGTTAAATCAGGAGAATCAATTCATCGGAATTTTTTTCACAAAAAAATATAACCATTGGATTTGGAGTTCCACCATGGTAGTATCCTACACCCACTCACGGAGAAAATTTTCTGCACATTAAAGAAGCTATTTTTGAAGTTCTTGCATTGCCCTGGCCCCTGGCCATGATTGTTGCATAGGTAAGATGAAATGGTAGATTGCAAGCAAAAGAGCGATATGATTATCCTTTTTCTTTTCCCAAGGGCTTATTTGGATCTAGTTTTCCTTAAACTCGTCTAGCAACATGACAAACTAAAATTGTGTTTTGTTTTGTCTAACTAACTCAAGGATATCTAAAACTGATTCTTGTTAAACTCGTCATCCTATGGAGTTAGATGAATCAAGGACTCGTACGCGCGCATTCACACGTTCAATCGGGGTGTATGTGAGGTGTGGTTGTATCCAAGTGCTCGTCTCTATGGGAATTCGTCAGAGTTGAAGCGATGTGCATGGTGTTCCATGAGTTATGTCCTCGTGGGGTGTCCTTGTTACGGCCGGTGTGTATTCGTGGGATGCCGGAGGCGAACGATGGCAGGGAAAACCATCATATATAAAGCGATGAGGTGTGCGACCCATAGACAGTGAATCTATTGCAAGGAAGTACGAGAACATTTTGGTGTGAAGCGAGTGTAAGGTGGCAGCCAAGCAATAGCAGTGGCCCAATACAGTAGAGCAAGAGGTGCAATGCATGTTTCCACTTTCCAGGCGTGGTCATACTTAGCTTACATATATGCCAATTGAGTTGGATCATCACGTCACGAATCTACAATGAGCAAAAATCGGAGGAGCATGGAAGAAAGAAGTCAAAATTGGGAAGAGAATATTATTATTAGGTAATCTTGTCCAAGTCCTACAAGTATTTGTGTTAGTGTAATTAGGTAGGAATTGTAGTTGTGACATTGTGTGGCTTGAATGTTGTCTGACATGGTTGGCGTGAGTTGTAGTAGTGTTAGGAATTCAATTTATACTAATCAATTACTTTTCTAAACAACATCACATTTACAGCCTATGGTTGTTGATTAAGATTGTTCCTAGGCAATTTTATTTGGACCCAGTAAATTAAAATAAACTTTGGTTCCAATATTATATTTGCAAAATACCCTATCTGGTGATTATACAATCCATAAATATAAACATAAATCAACACAGATGCATGTAATCAATGATTGGATGCTTTATTAGTAAACTATAAAGTTTTTTTTTGCGAAGAGTAAACTATAAAGTTGTTGGAGAGACTCAAAAACAGAGCAAAAATTAGATTGGCCCAGTGGTCTATTCTATAGTCCTCTGGAAGAAAAAATGTATATTGCAACTTGAGATATGATTGTTACAGTAAGTTGCTAGCACCTTATTGTTTGAAAACAGTCCATAGGGAGCCCAAGGTCCAGAGTAAAGATTTAAAACATATTGAGCTAGATTTTTTTAGTCTAGGCAGCGCACAGTTTGCTGCCTTTGTTGGGTACTTGGGTGTACAATGAAACCATCAAGTTTTGGAATTCATAATAGCAGCCAATAACATCAGTAGCAAGCAATGGGACTGGGATCTTGACTATTTGGTGTGCAGTAGATGCTTAATACACAATGGCGCTCTAATTTGCACTAATGATTATAATTGAGTTGTTAATGACTACCACAAGTGTAAATATATTACACTGTGTTTGGATGTCTGTATTGGAGGCCTTCGTATTGAATTGGTTTCAATTCCAACTCAGCAATGAAACTGTAATGGACATGATTACGAATTCAATTGTTTGGATGTTAACTGAATTGGCTCATGGAATTTTACCGTGTCTGTTTCAATTCATTTGTTACTTTCGATGGGTTTCAATTCATTAACTAATGTTCTTGATGTAATTTTTATTATGTTTGAGACACTTTGTACTTCCGGTGAACCTTTATAACACATCTGATCCTTTTCGCAAATTTTTTTTACTAGCGGTCACATTTCCTTTTGTTGAACTTAACATCTAATGCAAAGGCCAAAGAAGATAATTACTGTTATGATTGCCACAACTGGTAGGGAAACCTATGGCTGATATTACATCAAAAGGATAGAGCATCTAACATAGTAGGTGTGTAACAAAGTGGCAGATAAACTTGTTCAGGAAGACTCAAGTTTCAAGACGAACGGATATGGCATCTGTGCTTTCTATTACCCAATGAAGTGCCTTTAGGGGACAAATAAAAATCTTAGTTGTGGTTTTTGTAACGGGTGATCCAGTAATTACTTCATATCTGGATTTTTTTTTGAAATGGAGAAAAAGATTTGTCTCAATGATTAATTATGCAGAAGAGAGTCATCTAGTTAATTAGCCAAAACCCCATGTAAACCAATATAAACAGACCACATGCTAGCAACTCACCAAGCAGACCATTTTAGATTCCATTTTTTTCATTGGCATGCCTTGATGTTTCCCTGTTAGGACATGTCGTTGGTTGCCGGTGTTTTTCCTTTTAGGCCGCATTTGGCATTAGGGTATTTTAATAAAGGGTATTTAATTTACCACGGTAGCTAAACATCAGTCACTTGAAAATCCAATTTGGATCAGTCGATTTTCGCTAGAAGGAAGCAGACGTCGGTGGGATGGAAGAAGCAGCCGCTGGCTTGTCGGAGAAGCTTCCCCATGATCTATCATCAGTAGGGGGGGGCATGGCAATGGTGCAAGTTCGTCGGATTTGAGGGGAG